AGGGTGGAAAGAGAGAGAGATAAGAGGGGGGTGAGTTTTACCTTTTTCTCCTAGTCAAAGCTAGGAATTCAGTTTTTAAAAAATGAGGAAAAACTCAATATAGCACACATTTTTAATTTCTCAAAATAAAAATCTGATCTAGACAGGTTTATTATTGCTTCTTGAGTTGATGCCAAGTCCAAGTTCCAATGAAGTCAGCTTGGAGAAATACTTCCATATGTGAAGAAATCAACAGCTGATTTTAAAGCAGATTGCCAGTTTGAGCTAGGAGGGAAGAAATCCTTTCACTGCAGTTCCCTTATAGCCAGGGAAACATCAGAGTTGCATGAAGTATTGTCTCGGGTTTCCAAGCTGGGCTTTACCTGTGAGTTTGGTACCAGGACAGCTATTTTCCCGTCACCCCATCATCTTCTATTGGCACCCTTTTGTACTGTCCATATCCAATTGCCACATACCTATATTTCTTGCCAGGAATCCTGACCTTTGCATTTGCATCTGTTTGAGAGCTCTCCTTTTGTTCCCAAAGGCTTCTTACATTCACAATGTCTCCAGCCACAATGTCCTTCCAGGGCATTGATTTTGTAGAAGACTTAGCCACTTCCCCAGTCTCCCAAAGGTTTTTTGTGCTGGCCACTGCTGTGATATTGGTAGGAAGGCCAATGGAAAATTGGCACGCTGGCTTTGGAGTTTTGCTCGAGATCTCAATGGCATGAGTGTATTGCTCAAGCTTATCATCAATCTTGGAAATTGGAAGTGGCGCCTGGGTCTTCTTCATACTGTTACTTTTCTGAACAGATTGGTTCAGGGATTCAGTTCTGTCAGTGATCTTTAATGTTGGGCTTAAAGGACCTTGACATTCCTCTTCCTGATCGGAATTACTTGGGATCCTTTGTTTTTCTGGGACTTCTTCTTGCTCCTGTGGCCATCTTTTCTTGTCCTTTTGGTTTTCTTCCTCTTCCTTAGGCTTATTCTCTTCTGTAATGTTCTCTTCTTGGAGCTGGGCCTCAGCATGTTGATTCCCTTCTCCAAGGTCCGAGGTTTCCCTAGGCTGCTGCTGTTGCTCCAGCTCTGCTTCAGGCTGATCTTCTGAAGCTGAAGTAGAAACAAACCTAAGGAAATTGGATGGTCTGGTTTCAAATCGGATGAAGATGGGAGACTCCTCATTGAGGTGGACTTGCTCCAGCATTGCTTCTGCTTCCTTCAGATTGCCGTCTTCTTCCTTGCAGGAATGCCTTGGTGATCTTAAGCCTGGGTTGGCATCTTCTTCCCTGGCAAATGCTCTATGCTTTTACCACCGGGAAAGGAATTCCCCAGGTGACTTAAATCTTTAATTATAGTTATTAGTGTGATTCAGACTACTTGGGAAAAAATGCAAATGTTTTAATTGTACTCCTTTAATAATTAATGCCTTTAGTAGATTTCCAGGCGCATAACCAAGACAAACCACCACACAAGCAAACCAAATCTCAACTTTTAATTTTGCCACTGTTAAACACCTTGAAATCTGATTATGCAAGCAGTTTCAAGATACTAAATGATTGGGGGAGTGGGAGTGGAAAAGAGACCTTTCTCGTTTAGTTTTAATTCAATTTTCTCTGTGAATGGATAGGAATTATAGCTATGCAATTTAAATATTATACTAAAGGAAATGTATTTTGAGTACATGCCATAAAGAATTATTCTGCCTTTTCATGACTGAGTACTTACTATATGTTTGTTTTCAGCTATATACACTGAATATATTTCAACCATAATTTTATACCTGATGACCAACCAAAATGTTACTTCTCTGAGTAATGACATACACCGGCAACACTAAGTGATAGCAAAACTGCAAAGTAAACTTTAAGAAAAGAGGGGAAAAATACTTTTTTTCAATCTGAGATTGAATATCAAAAATCTTGAGCTAGTACGTGGGCTTAACAGATTGCATATTATAAAAAAAGAGAACATGTATAAAAGAGAAAAGTAAGTGTGGGGTTTTTTTTCAAGTATGATTTTATATTCTTTTCTTCTCACCTATGAAGTCTAATTTTACAGCAGTACATCCTGTTCAATAATCTCCAGGCTCTGTGCAATAAAAATTGAAAACTGGAAAAACAATTCTCTTGACTTTTCAAAAAATGTCATTTTTATTTCTGAAGATATATTGATTTAAAATGCTAGCTAGCTGTATTTAGCCCTTTTAATATGCAGATTCTCATTTCTATTCCAGTCAAAAGATGGTTTAACTTCAAACAAATCCTCACCAGGAATTATAGATCGAAATGCTTAGGAAACAATACTAATTCCATCCTCCGGGATTTTCATTTTTCTTTGAAAACCAAAGTCTGTCAACGTGAATTAGAAATAAACTGGAGGATCGAAAGGTATTTACAACAAATGTAAGAGAACGTTGTTATGCACTATGTTGTTATCTGAATATCTGCCGATCAGGTATCCAAGAAACATTTTCAAATGTTCACAGTTTTAGGCATTTAGTTTTGATCACTATTTTGTGCAGAAGTGTTTATTTACTCGCCCACCCCCAATTTCACAGAAATCCTAATTTGTCACATTCTTACTTTGTAGGTTATCCTCTCCCTTCAGCAGTGAAAATGAAGAGTATACATGAGAGTGAGGAAAGAGGAAAGTGTGAGATAGCCAATCTCATTCACTGGATTAGTGAATGAGAGAGAGAGAGAGAGAGAGAGAGAGAGAGAGAGAGAGAGAGAGAGAGAGAGAGAGAGAGAGAGAGAGAGAGAGAGAGAGAGAGAGAGAGAGAGAGAGAGAGAGAGAGAGAGAGAGAGAGAGAGAGAGAGAGAGAGAGAGAGAGAGAGAGAGAGANAACTAGCAAATATCACCTCTGAGGACATCTGAGTTATTGAAGATTGGGAATTCTAACACAGAACAGTAAAACAGACAGCGAAATTGAATAAAATCATCATCAGAAGTAACCATTTAGTCTAATATTACTGTTAAGAAACACTAAGGTTCAGACATACACATTTAACAGAATGGCACATCAAGAGAGTTTTTTTAATGATATACTAGACATTTATTAATAATACGTTTAGTTCTATCTTGCTCCTGCCCCTCAAACTGGAATACTGAAGACATGCTGATTTCTGGCAGCACCCAGCATGTAAGAGTTAGGGTTGGACAATGTTATATTTCCCTGTCTATACTGGACTTTCAATCGCTGAATTTAGTACTTTCAAAACTGCTCAAGATGTCAAATATTCTCTCCATAAGAAACAACCACAATTTGGAACGAGAACCTGCTTTTGTCTCTCATAAGAATAGATGCTGTAAGAATAAGTGACTAGAAATTCATGCTGACTGCTACAAGTTAACTAACTTCAAACATATTGGCCAAAAGGGCGACTTTTTTCAAACATAAGAAAGAGCTCTCTGCAAAATTTTAGGAAAGATATGCTTCACAAAGACAGTGGCAATATCTTAGCAATATGGTGTTTTCTGGAATACTTGCAGAGATTGTCCTTGGTTGGCACAACTTCAGTTAGTACCACCATCAAATGAACTGTGCGGGTCTGGATGGGGAGGAACGGGCTCCAGCTCAACCCATCCAAGACCGAGTGGCTGTGGTTCTCGGCGCCTCGTTTCAGCCAGTTGACTCCATCTTTGGCCATTGGGGGCGAAACACTGGCCCAGGTGGAAAGGGCACGCAACTTGGGCGTCCTCCTGGATACCCGGCTGTCGCTAAACGATCATATGACGGCCGTGGCCAGGGGGGCTTTTTATCAGATACGTCTGATACGCCAGTTGCGCCCTTTCCTGGATCGTGACGCCTTGCGCACACTCACTCAGGCCCTCGTCATCTCGCGCCTAGACTATTGCAACGCCCTCTAC